GAGAGAGAGAGAGAGAGAGAGAGAGAGAGAGAGAGAGAGAGAGAGAGTAACTATAGATAGATCACTGTATACTTTTTCCTTACACTTACCAGACTGGTATCATTGCATACTATATAAACATACACGAGTGTGAGGGCAGCGAGTTGACAAAGTGAGGCTTTCCAATGCTCACACCCTCACAGAAACATCAGTTTAAACAACTATCCACGTGCAAAAATACCTTCACGTGAGTTAAAGAATTCAGGTGCATGATAAAAGCACTAGAAAGACGTGTACACCACCTAATCATTTATTAACAGATGTATGATACACAACATGCATAAATTGTTTCATCAATAAAATGGTTACTTCCATATCACTTCACACACTACTGTACCAATAGCCATATCTTGTGGGGCCGGTCATTGTCACGGCTCACAGTGTTCACAGGCATGTAAGATTGTTGAATAATTGTCTTCTTTTGTAATAGAAATAAAACCTCTGGCACAGTGAAATCTTGTCCATGGGGATGAAGCTCCCAGGTCACTATCATGTCCAATGACTTAGGTATGTGGTGACTTCGGTAATAAGATCTTACCATCAGATTATGAAGAGTAACCAAGGGCAATGGCACGAGCCTGTAATGTTTGGGGTATGGAACTCTATGGAACTCTACTGACCAACAACTCAAAAGGATATAACCCATACCTGGCACTGGGCTTCTTATTTGATAGCCTAGGGTGCCTAAGAGAGGTACTATCCCATTGTGATATGGCAACTCTGTTTAAACTGTATATTAGAAAGCTTCTACAGTAGTAGCTTTCCATACATATAGCATTTTCTTAAGTGTTAGTTGATGGCTTCCAGGGGAGGGAGAATAAGTTTTCTTCAGGATTGCAATCCCTGGGAGGTTACCTTTCCTCCAGTAGATGGTCCTCTACCCATACACATACAGGCACTATGTGGGCAGAGAGAGAGAGAGAGAGAGAGAGAGAGAGAGAGAGACAGAGACAGAGACAGAGACAGAGACAGAGACAGAGACAGAGAGACAGAGAGCACATGAAATTTGGCAGGGGGAGTGATGGGGATAGAAGGATAGAAGGGAGGGAGGGGAGGAGAAAGGGGGAGGTATGGTCTTAATAGAGTTATGAGATGTTTTGTATAAGTCTCATGTAACTACAAAGATCTTCAGTAGATAAATCAAGTCAAAAAGGAAGAGATCAGGAGAGGAAGAATACAATAAAAGAACCTCAAAGCCATCAAAAAATGATTGTTTAATGGAAATTTTTGTAAGTTCTTTCCTATCAACTACTTTAAATGTAAATGGATCAAATTTTCCACCCATGAAACAGATCAAAGTCAAATGAGTTTTTTGTTTTTGTTTTTGCTTTGTTTTTGTTTTTGTTTTTGTTTTTTTAAGATCCAACTTTAGGCTGCCCATACAACTCAACTTAGCTTTAATATCTTACGCAGGCTGAAAGCGAATGGCTGCAAAGATATTCCATTCAAACGACAACTAAGAAAGAACAGGATGGCTATGCTCACAGCAGAGAAAATAGATGATAAGTCAAAAATTGTCACAGGAGACAAAGAAGGTTATTGTATAATCATAAAGGAGTCAGTTCATCAATGGTCTATAACAACTTTGAGTATACGCACACTTAATATCAAAGCACCTACGTATATAAGGAGAGATCCCAAAGGATGCCGTTAGTGGAAGAGGAAGTCAATAACAGATGCAGGACAGAGCACATACAACACAACACTATAGCAAAATGAACTCAACAGATATCTACAGAATAGTACAGGAGCAGATGAAACACTCTTTTCAAATTCACACATGGAACATTCTCCAGAATGGAACCTTTGTTAGGCCACAGAACAGTCTAGATAAATTTAAGAACACGAACAGTCTAGATAAATTTAAGAACATGTGAGTCCTATCAACTATCTTTTCTAAACACAGAAGTGTGAAACTGGAAGTCAGTATCCAGAGGTAAAATCACATAATTCACAAATATATAGTGTTGTGGGAGATATTTTAAAATCAGCCGCTGGTCAAACCGACTATCTAAGCTGAGGTGGCTCTGCCTAGCTCAACCGCCATCTTCTGTGGCCAGAGGCCATGTGCGAACCGCAGCTAGAACCGGCCCACCAGAAACACCAGCCCTGCCACCCACAAGAGACACCAGCATGGGAGATGGCTCTGCCAGTCTTCCACGCTGTCTCTGCAAGGCTGGGCATTGCACAGACCAACCTGCCATCCATGCAGGCCCAGTAAGAAAATGAAACTCTAATGCTTAAAGATTAATCAAAGGTTTTATATGTTTGGTAATGCTCAATAACAATATGCCCATAAAAGGAGAGTTGTCTCCCAATTAGCTAACCTAAATAAAAGTTGTTACCTGCAACTGCTCTCCATACCTGTGTGGCTCTTCATCGCTCCTACATCTCTGCCCTTCCTAGCTCCTCCTCTTCCTTTTCCTCTTCCTCTCCTTACTCCTCCCACCTTAGCTCCTCCTACAATGTAGGAATTAAAACAACATACTCACAAATGACCAATGACTCAAAAAAGTAGTAAAAAAAAGAAAAAAATAAATATTGATGTGAATTAAAATATATATAACATAACAAAACATACAGGTATAGTAAGACTGGTTTTAAGTGAAAAGTCTGTGGCAATATTTTTCTGAATTAAGGCGGAAAGACTTAAAGAGCTAAACTTTATGCTGTAGTAAGTTAGAGAAAACAAAAACAAAAAAACCAACCATCCAAACAAACAACAAACCCACCAGAGTCGATGTGAGAAAAAAAAATCAGAGTAAAATAATGAAAAGATAGAAAAACGAAAGATCAAAGAGTCTGAGAGTCAGCCTCTTGAAAAGATTTTTAAAACTGGTAAGCCTTTAGCCACACTTAATAACAATAAAGAGAATCCCCAATAAAACCATGAGTGAAAGATACCACAGAAATGCAGATCACCAGAGTCTACCATGAGCAACTATACACCAGCAAACTGGATGACCAGGAAATGGACTCCTTCACAGAAACACAACCTCCCAGGACTAGAGTTTGAAGAAATGTAAAATATAAACAATTTAGCAATGAGTATGAAGATTGAGTTGGTTATCAAGTCACCCCGAAAAAAATCAGTTCAAGATCTGGTGATGTTGATGATCTATATGCAACATTTAAAGAAATGTTGGGCCGGGCAGTGGTGGCGCACGCCTTTAATCCCAGCACTTGGGAGGCAGAAGCAGGTGGATTTCTGAGTTCGAGAGATTGAGGCTAGCCTGGTCTACAGAGTGAGTTCCAGTACAGTCAGGGCTACACAGAGAAACCTTGTCTCGAAAAACCCAAAAAAAAGAAAGAAAGAAATGTTAATGCCAGCCGTCTTCAAACTTTACCAAGAAGTTGGGAGAAAAGAAGAGAAACAGGAGGAGGAGAAAAAAGAGGAAGAGGAGGAGGAGAACACTTCAAATAAACACATTTTGATTAGATCAGAATTTTGTACTCAGAAACCTGACAAAAACACACAGGAGGCCAGGCGTTGGTGGTGCATGCCTTTAATCCCAGCACTTGGGAGGCAGAGGCAGGCGGATTTCTGAGTTCGAGGCCAGCCTGGTCTACAGAGTGAGTTCCAGGACAGCCAGGGCTCCACAGAGAAACCCTGTCTCGAAAACAAAAACATAAACAAAAACAAAAACAAAAACAAAAAAACCCAGGAGCTGAATAGACATTTCTCAAAAACAAACAAACAAACAAAAGATTTCATTCTAACAGCTGACAGTTATATGGGGAACTGCTACAGATCATTAACCAAGGAAACACAGGTAGAATCACAAAGAAGGAGATGGTCCAGTAAGATGGCCCACTAATATTGCCTCTCTATGACCTGGTTAAAGGGAAGAGTCAGCATAAGAAAGAACACACTCAGGCTGGGTCTGTAGCTCAGTTGGTAGAGTGCCTGCCTTGCAAACAAGAAGCCTAGAGTTCGGTACCACTACTGTATACTCTTATCATGGGATATAGTTCCTGAGAGAGGAAGGGAAGAGCCAGGAGGGACGGGAAAAGAGAACAGGGCTAGAAAAGAAAGAAAGGCAGAAGCGGGGGAGAGGTGAATATAGTTCACCAAAGAGAGGAAGAGCTTTAGGAATTCACAAAGATACTGAAAGAACAGCTAAAAGGCACTGAAAGGAATATTGGTGGTAACACGGCAACAGGAAGCTAGCCTTGTCGAACCCAGTTCTGTGTGGCTTTCCACTGGAGGCAGGAGAAGTAGAAACCTCATGCAGAAGGGAACCCAGCACCCCCCACCTCCACCCCACCCCACCCCCAGTGAAAAGTGAATTAGTAATCTTGCCCTCGGGCCATATGAGCAGTGCTCACAAAAACCTCCAATCCAGTTGTAGGCTTTGGTGAGACAGTGCCTCCTCTCAGCATCTAGATGGGTCAGTAGTGGAGACGACTCCTACTGCCCCACCCTGAATGATCGGGAGGGGTGCTGGTTGGTGTCATATGGCAAGGAACCTATTGTTTGAAGCTAAGCCATCCTGAGCATCTAAGAATGAGGGACAACCACAAATCAGAAAACTTGAATTTAATTGGGCAGAGCCTCAACGTGAAGAAGGGGAAGTTGTGGAAAGCAGGAAAGGAAGCAGATGCTGGCAAGCCAAAAAGAACACATTGCAGGAAGCTCTGCTTAAGCAGGGATACACACTAAGAAAGGAAGTCCCACAGCCAGAGGCTGAGAGCAGATGTCATCAACAGAGAAGAACCCTGGACTTTGATGGCCCTGAGCCTGAGGTCGGCAGGTGGATCGCTAGGAACACTGGCACTCTAGTAGAATAGTTGACAGTCACCATTGTGCTGCCTAGGCGGGATGCTCAGTTCTTGTGGGAAGAATGGAGA